TTTGTACCCAGTTTGTTTTACTGAGGTAGGCTTGCTAACTTTTACCTGAGCTGGCCTCAAACTCATGATCTTTCCATTTCCACGTCCTGCATAGCTGATTCAAACACATTCCAGGTTCATTCTTGCCTTGGAGCTTGGTACATGCCATTCCCTCTGCCCTGAATGCTTTTCTCAAAGCTTTGCCTTTCTGACTTTCTTGTATCAATCAGGTCTCATCGCCAAGTCACCTCCTCTTATAGATTTCTTCCCTGATTGCCCAAACGGAAGTGGCTACTCTCTGCTCCTCAGTCTTGCTCTCTCCCATTATCCTAAAAATCGTCTTACTGATTGTTTATGGTTTGTTTGTCTTCTTCCCTGCTCTTCCAAAATGTAAGCTACATGGGACACTGCTGTGTTTTCAGTATCTTAAACTGTATTTGATCCACAATATGCCCTCAATAAATATTTATACCCAAGTACAACAATAATAAAACAAATAAATAAATTTTAAAAAGGAAAAAAACATAAATATTTGTAGAATAAAAGACAAAATGGATGAATGAATGCATGAACAAACACACTGGTTCAAGTTGCTGAAAAGGGCACAGAAAATGGAGAATGGCAAGAGATGAACCAAACATGTCTGTAGGGACCAGGCTTGTGCAGGGCTTCGAAAGCTCTGAGAAGGAAACTTGATTTTATTCAAAAGTGACTAGATCTTAAGTTCTTTCAGTCCCAAAACAGGTTTATAGTAATACCAAAAAGACCTGGAAACTGAGAAAAAGAGATGGGTTGTCTTCTGATATGCGCTCCTGTCTGAGTCACTTTTCGGTTTTGAGAGCTGGAAAAGCAAATGGACCTTCTTGCTTAGTGCTTTAGCTTGTTAGGAAAGAAAGCATCCTTAAACAAGCTGTGAAGACAGACTTCATGGAGGCTGCAGGGAATCAAACACCAGAGTCCAGAGTCTAGCAAGTGGCAGAACATGGAAATGGAAAGAATAATGGACCGAGGGAGAGAGAGTACAGGTTCTGCTAGCAGTGCTCGCTGCCCCTTACTAAATGGGGTGTAGGTGGAGTCTCTATCACAGGACTCTGAAATCTGTGCAGGAAACAAGAGCACAAAGGAAGAAGGGGCTCTCAGTCCCTTCAGGGGAAAGGGGAGAGTGGAGAGGAGGAGAACAGGTACAGTAGGAAGTGAGGGGCAAATCAGCCATCCTGGATACTGGCTGTTGGTGCTCCCTCTACCTCACTGAAATAAGATATTTCTCGGTCCTCTGCCCATAGTCCTAATCTTTTCTTGGGCACCCACCACCACCACCACCACCTCAGTTTCAGTCTTTATGGCCTGGGTAGGACCCTACCTCTTTTCTCAGGAGTGAGGCACGTGTCTTAGGCCTGTGCCAATCAGCATGGTGCATTTCCCTAGCCACAGTGGATTGTTTGGGGCATAAATGTGATCTTAGCCTTTCTAATCAGAATGACTCTCAGAGCTTTTGGACAAGACCTTGGCTCTTTCCTGCTGGACTGCAGACTGGATGGCATAAGTATAAGGCTACTGCAGCAACCTTGTCATTAGATCCCAAATGAGGCAGGGACTTCCCCATGAAGCCTGACACCAAATCCAGTCCAAAGGTAGGCACTGCCCAAAGCCTGGATGGATAACTTATAATGACAGTGCCTAAGCCCTGAACCCAGCTATTCTAAAGTCAGGTCCATCTTGAATGTTTCAGTAGCATGAAGTAATAAATTCCTCCCTCTTAAAGTAAAGTTGTCTGAGTTTTCTGTCACTTGCAATCACTGGCATATGCCACCATTTATAAAGAAAACATCTGCTAAGCAATGATGACAGAAGGACTGGGTGAGAGTCATAGGCAGAGAAACAACAGCCACTGTTGTGGCCACCCACTTAGACGGAGGTTTTTCCAATGCACATCACCAGACTGGAGGAAAGGCAAGATTTAGTCTTGCCTGAAAAATAATTTTAACTAACCAAATGTCTGAACATCTTATTCTGGAAAAATGGAACAGTTATTAAGTCTGTGTTTGCTTGGCTGACAATTTCATCTTTCGGGAAGTTAAGGGGAAAAGGTATTATTTCTTTATTATGACTCCAGAAACAGAGTTTGATTTTTTTTTTAAGGGAAGGACCTTGGGCAAACACAATCATGGAATTTCAAGAGTTTATTTAGTGCCAAATAGAAATGAATTTCAAAAAGTTCAGAGAAAACTTAGGGTAAATACAATGGCCTGAGACCTTAAAATGGAAGGATCCCTTTCAAACCCAAAATCTGATAGCTAATTACAAATTCTTGAGGTAGGAAAATGTAAAAAATTTTTAAAAATCAAACTCCAAATGTTGGCTAGAAAATTAATCCTCAAAAGTTCTACACAGATGTTCTTTTTCAATTAGAGTACTTTTCTTATTAAGGGCGACATTCTCAGTTCATTTACCTTAGTGAGCCATAATAATTCGTACAAGGTTAGGACACAAGAAGAAGCCCATTTGCCATTCTATTGTCATAACAGTGAATTCTTGAGTATAAACTATATAGTTTATACTTATACCTTAAGTATAAGTATAGTTAGTATATAAGTACAGTTTATACTTATACTTTAAGTATAAACTATATACATGTCTTTAGACATGTATAAGAAATGGAAGGTGAACAGAAGAGTGGATAAATAAAATGTGGTATATATATATGAAATATTCAGTCATTAGGAAGAATGAAATCATGCTCTGAAGATGGATACAACTGGAGATCAAAATGAATGAAACTTAGAAAGATAAATATTACATGCTTTCTCTCATATATGGAATCTACATTTAAAAAACAAAAAAATATGTGACTGGTGGAGTAGCTTAAGTGGTAAGAGCGCCTGCCCAGCAAGCCTGAGTGAGTCCCTGAGTTCAAACCCCGTGCTGCCAAAAAAAAAAAAAAAAGAAGAAGACATGAAAGTAGGAGAAGGACTATTTGGGAAGAGGAAGGGGACTAGCAGGAGAGGAGAGAGTGGCCACAAGAGGGTAAAAAAAAAAAAGAAATGGCAGTGGGTAGGGCATAAAATCAAGCACAAATCCACTGTAGAATGGGCCCACATGAAGGATGGCCAAAAGGATAAAGTTTAGAAGGAGCTGAGTGAGATTCATTTATTGACAGCAAAACAAAACAAAAACAAAAGTTCTGTTTTTCTAAGACTTAAAACATGTAAGAGCAGGCAAAAAGACGACAGAACACAAATAGAGAAGGCTAACTTCTTCAATTTCTGGATTCAGTTCTACATCTTCATCACGAAGAACGGGCTTCACCAGGAAAAGGAGAACAACCTTAGTGAAGAGACACTGGAAGTCCAGGATCAGAAGGAAGAAGGAAAACCTCATTCTCCTGGGAATGAATCCAGGCCCAGCTACCAGCACTCCAGGAATCTAAGGGAACGTGAAGATGGGCTTGAGGAATCTTTTGGGTGATCTCCAAGGAATGAAAGGGAACAGGAAAAAGAACAAAGAGTACCTTGACTTTCAAAGAAAGGGAAAACCAGATTCCATGAGCCACAGTCTGGAGAGCCTATAGACAACCTCTGCAAGAGACTAAGCTGCATTATTAACCAGGCAGGTTTCAGAGCACATAGGGAAGGAAGCACTGAGAAAAGGCAAACAACTCAAGAGAAAAATTGGCAGAGGACAAGAACAGGTGATACACTGAACTGGAAATATAAATGACCAATAAATACAAAAGATCCCACCATCATGGAAATATGCATTGAGATTAATCAGACACTATTTATACAGCGGAGAAGTAAAACCTTAAAGAATGATGATACTGGCAAAGATGCAGAGAGCTGACACTCTCATTTTCTCACTAGTGGAGTATTCTTTAAAGGGGCAATTTGGTGGTATTGACTAAAATAAAAATACATCATACTTTGACCCAGCAAGCTGAATGACTCATATATGAAGAGGCTGAGGAGGTTTTGCAGTATAGGACCATTTATAACACTGAAGATTAGAAAACATTTTAAAGACTGACCAAGGTTTTCCACATGCTTAAACATATTCTGGTACTATGGACCAACACACAACAGAATTAGAGGTGACCACCATGGTTTACCTCTTAAGGGTGTGTTAGAAGTTTGTCCCTAGTGTGGTGGTATTAAGAGGTGGTAGAACCTTACTGCAAGGTAATTAGGTCAATGAGAAACTGCCCTCAGAAGGGATAGATGCTGGTCTTTGGAGTGATTTGGTTGTTCTTATGAGATCAAGTTTTATAGAAGAGCAAGACTTGCCCCTAAATCTCTCTTTGGCTTCCTCTGTCACTATACAATATTTTTCTCTTACATGAGCTTCCAACATGATGCCATCTGCTATGATGTGATAGTATCATAGGGCTCTTGACAGACTCAACACCATTCTGTTTAGACTTCCAGTCTCCAATATTTTGAGCTATTTTCTTTATACATTATCCAGGCTTGGATATTTCATTACAGCAACAGAAAACAGACTAACACAGTAATCCATATATAACAATATTGAATGATCTTCTCAGTATTACCCTTCATGCTTTCATGAAAGAAAGCTACATATTTCTATATGTGTATATGTGTTTATAAATAAATAGAAATAGTTTGAAAGGATACAAATTAACTTGCTAACACAGGTTACCCCAGGAAAGTGATTTGGAATATGTTTGTCCCTTCTACTACACATAAGAGAAGAAATACTGAGAAGCACACATACACCAGGTTCCATGGTTGTGTACCCTAGGCAGGAAGTCCACCCCTCCAGGCCTTAGTGTTTTTCTCTGTTTATTGATTACATAACATCTAGAGGAGATTCCAACTGAGGCAGGCAATATGTTGCCCATGCATTCTCCTCCTGGAAACACTTGTCATTAGAAAGGATTTTGAAGAGGGGGTAATGCTGAACACCAGTGAGTAAACTGTACACTTTTAGGCACCAGAGGATTTACTTGAACCCCCATGCTAGAGTAGGAAGTGCTCTGGCAGGAACCCTCCATCAGGACTGACCTCTTCAGTGACGATCGAGATAGCACCTGTGCAGCCTGGTTCATGGCCCTGACCCAAGCGTTCATGTCCTCCAGGGTGTCAGCACTAAAGTAGTAGGTCCTCATACCCGACTGCTCAGCCTGCGAACCCACCGTTGAGCTGTTGTAGATGAGTGCCCGCATCCCTGTGTGCACGGCCTGTAAGCATGGAGCAGACATCCAGGACAAAGAGAAGTTAGTGCAGGTTGCCTTCTAGGAGCAAGAGCATGGAGGCACGAAGCCCCTGTTCTCCTCCTTCCAAAATGAACACCCCAGTACCAGCCAGCTTCTTGCCACATCTGAGAAAGATCACAGCCTGGATGTTACTTTCTTAGTGCAGCCAGGCTTAGTGACAGCTGTCTATTCTTCTCAAGGAAATCCCTACAGCTGTACCTATTTTCTACTTATCTCATGCCTACCTAGGGGAGAGGGAGGCACAGAAACAAGGCTTATGCAAGAATCAGACTTGGAAGGCATGGTGCTGGGGATTAAACCTAGGGCCTTGCAACTGCCAGGTAAGCAATCTACCATAATGACCTCCCTAGCCCCAGAAGCAGATTTCAAAAACAAAACAAAACAAAACCCTAAAACCAAAACCAAACCAAACAACAACAATAAAAACTCTCATGCAAATCAGACTCTTGGGAATCCCTGTTTTGGTTCTTCTGAAGCACACAGTTCCTGTTGTGGCTGCAATCAGACAAGTGTTGAATCAAAATTAGCTGCCACAGATATAGTTTGGTGCTCATAGTAATCCACTGTCCTTCAATTGCTTGGCATAAAATGTGGTGTGTGCCCAAAAAAGCTGCTGTTCTGTCTCTTCAAAAGACACAACAATGTTAGACAGAGATGACCAAAATTAGATTAAAAATTCCGGTGCACCTACTATGTGCTTCAAGGTGTCTCCTTGCAGAGAGCCTGGGAAGAGGTGTTAGGGATAACTGAAAACAACTTAGATGGTTTGCAAACCAGAGGCAACACCAGATTTGCCCCTGTGCTCTGATAAGCACTGGCTTGTCTTAGATTAGCAAGTAAAAAATCTCACTCAATCTACATAGGAAGATGATGTAGAAAGAGGTAGATTTTCTAAGTGTCCACTCTTTGTCCCATAGGTACCTCCATGACTTCAATATCTCATTTAAATCCCAACAGTCTTGAGAGGTAAGGATGGGATCTCTGTTTTACGTGTGGCAAATGAAGCCCTTAGATGTTAAGTAATTTTCCCAGATAGCCACATCTGGTAATAGATGCTTCACTGCACTTGCCAATATCTGGTCCTACTCATTTTAAACTCTTAGGAGTGTAAGAGTGAGAGAAGGATTCTGTCTGATCTTGTTCACTACTGTTTCCCCAGAAACAGTACCTGGCATATAGTAGGTGCTCAATAAATATTTGTTGAATGAATGAGTGAAGAGCTGGAACCCAGTATGGCTCCAAGTCCAGACTTCTCTGTATCCCAGAAATGAGGGTGATCCTATTATCTGGATCCAGAACGAAAGGCAGATCCCCACCAAGTACCAGTCAGAAAAAGCAAAATGAGAACCAGTTATAAACTAGAAAATGACATGATTTTAGAATGGATGAAAACTTGGATGAACCTTCAGCATTTTCTTCTTTCCATACTCCTAACATCCAGGCGGCAAAAAATGCATTATTAAATACGTGCCTTCTTCTGACTGAGTTCATCCAGTCCAGTACCAAAGGAGTCTTGGCAAACTTGGCCTGAAGCCAAGTTTCCCACAGTGGCCAAAAAAACCTCATATCCTTCCTTTGCATGTCTTAGGTATCACTTATGGTCCCAACAAGAACTCCCCTTATTTTTAATCAAGATAGAGGTACAGCAATAAGAAAAGAATGGAAAGGGACTTGTATATATCTTCTTGTGAATCAGCAGAAATTCTCGGAAAAGTTCTCCTGGATAATGACCCCATAAGATCTCTGCATAAGACAAACTAATGCAGATACTTTAAAGTAACAGAGGCCAATAGGAGAAGGATACCAGGAACTAGAGAAAAGATTAGTTCGAGAAGAATTAACCTAGAAGGTAACACACATGCACAGGAAATTAATGTGAGTCAACTCCCTGTATAGCTATCCTTATCTCAACTAGCAAAAAACCTTGTTCCTTCCTATTATTGGTTATACTCTCTCTTCAACAAAATTAGAGATAAGGGCAAAATAGTTTCTGCCTGGTAGCGAGGGGATGTGGGGGAGAGGGAGAGGGCGGGGTAGTAAGGGTGGGGGTAGGGGAAGGAGGGAGAAATGACCCAAACATTGTATGCACATATGAATAAAAGGAAAAAAAAAAGATCTCTACATAATCCCCTGGCCTTTTCTGCCCAGCCACAGAAGTTTCTGGGGAAGGCACTCATTCCACCAAATTCACAAGGAGCCTTCCAGGGAACACCAGAGAGAATAGGTCTCTGCTACACAAGAATTCACAGAGCCACCCTTGTACAGGAATCAACCTGGGACATACCTTAAGCATACAGGTACATTTATTTGCAGGCCTGTTGGGAAATGTACTCTGAGAAGGACAGCCACTGCTACAGAGGAGTCACACATGATCATAAATATAACTTTGTTTACCAATGAAACTGCCAGCAGGTGTGTGCTGCACCTGCTCTTTGCATTGAAGAACAAGTTCCCAATTGCATCCAGCCTTTGCTAGGGCATATTAGATGTAGTCACTCTGAAGGCAAGAAATATAGGCACTCCCTTTTCATCTGGCCCAGTGACCCAAGCCCAAAGTGCCCTGAGCTCAAGGAAGATACCAGGGCCCAGATGGTATGAAGTCTTCTCCCTTTGCCCTAGTCTCATCTCAGAGATTGTCCCTTCCTCTTTGCTTCTCATTTAACACAACCCTACTAGGTAACTTTACATGACTGAATAGAAACCAGGCTATGCGTAAAGCAAATGAGGATGTGAGCAGGGAAGTATTTACCTCAAAAACATAATGCCCCTAGGATATGAATGTCTTGCTGGCTCCAGTACTTCAAGTCCTGAAGAAATGTTGGTGAAGGGAGCCAAAATCCTCCTAACCCAACTCCCCAAGGTCAGCCTTTAGAGCAAAAATACAAATGCGAAGTCTTTGCTCCCATTTCCTGCATGGAGAACAGGAAATACTTCTCTTTTCCCTCCCTAACCTTCTCCATACTTTACCCTGTTATACTAAAATAAATCCTTGCTAAAACGGAAGGAAGGAAGGGAGGGAGGGAGGGAGGGAGGGAGGGAGGAAGGAAGGAAGGAAGGAAGGAAAGGAAGGAAGGAAGGAAGGAAGGAAGGAAGGAAGGAAGGAAGGAAGGAAGGAAATAATTTATCTTTCATTGAGTGTTTACTATGTGGTAGGCATTGCATGAGAAGTTGGAAGGACAACCTTAAACAGTCTTGACCATTTATAGTCAAGCCAAAGACAAAGTCCATGGACAAGTAACTTTAGCTAAGAGTTACTGAAAGTTTCAGGATGCTATAAAAGAGGGTAACAGGGGAATATTGCCTGACCTAAAGAACGACTCACCTGAGAACTGACATTTAAGCTACCTTCCATGATAGAGTAGCATGAAGAGAAGCTATGGAGTGGGTGGGGCCCTAGCTCCAGGGCCTTGCAGATCATGTTAGGGTTTGGTCTTCATTTAAGTAGCAATGAGAAGCTATTAACAGGGTTAAGCTGAGGAATGATCTTTGTTTGGAAAGATCACTGCAGTTCCAGAATGGAGAGGAGGCTGGAGTGGCAGCAGCAGGTGAAGAGATATGGATCAAGCAGAGGTGAGAGATGATAGTGAAGGAAGAGACTGGAAGGAGTGAACAGAGCTGGGAGGGAGCCAGCAGTTCACAGCAGCAGGACTTGGTGGTGGACTGGACATGGGTGGTGAGGGAATGGCAGTGTCATAGATAAGAGTGCCAGGCTCATGAGTGGTGTCCATTTCTTGAGATTAAGAACAGGAACTTCTCATGTTCAACCTTTGGGTTGACTAGAAGCAACAGATTGTGCAGGGTAAGAATTCAGGTTCTTGGAGGAAGGCTAAGGTCCAAAGTGGGCTGTGCCTCTTTCCTTCTAGGTAACCCTTGGCAAATTGCTCTACCTCCCTACATTTGTGTTTCCTCATCTTTAAAATGAGACTGTGGATAACAGTAGTATCTAGCTTGTAAGGTCATATGAAGATGCAATGAGACAATTATACATGGTGCCTACCACACAACCTCACATTTGTAAGTATCACAATTAGAAGTTAGGACAGATGACCTGAGCAATCTAAGGGAGAATGGCTAAATGAGCTTTCTGGAAACTAAGACTCTTCTTCCTGTTGCCATCATTAATTTACAGGGGACTAAGTATGAAATGTAAGTAAGTCTGAGGAGTGTAATCACTGTCACTGACCATAATGCCTATTACAAATGACTGCTCCATGTAGCCTGAGGGTGAGACCAGCTATAGATATACCCAGGCAGAAGTAGCAGATAGGCTAGTTTTCCTGGTGACAATTCTGGGTAGGTAAATCAAATGTTTACAGTTCAACGACACAGAGCTGTGGATATGCAGAAATAAGGTACCTAAAGTGTCCAGAGGGCTCAAGGAAAGCTCCTCAGAGAAGGTGAGTCTGAGCAGAGAACTGAAGCATAAGTAAGAGCTGTGGTGAGGGTTTTCCAGGCTAGGCTGAAGCTCAAGCCTGTGGGCAGGGCTGGGGAATGTGGCTCAGTGGTAGTGCAGAGCATGAAGACCTGTGTTCAATCCCCTAGCAGGGCAGAACAAAATAAAACAAAAAGACCTACAGGTAAGAAATATTCTGGTGATTTCAGGTAACTGCATATGGCTGGAGGGAAGACATAAGATGGAAGTGACTAAAAATGTGGCTGGAGAGATAAGCAGAGAATCTTGTAAATCAAGATTGGGCTTTAACCTGAAGGCAGTAGAGCACCACTAAAATTTGTGGTAGGAATACAATCTGCACAGAGTGTAAAATAGGAGCAGTATAGAGGAGGGGCTGCAGCTATAGAGAAGTTAGAAGGTTGAAGCAGTGACAGCCAGTTACGGAGTGCACAGTGTATACGAGGTACTGTTCTAGCAGCAAGTTACCTAGGGAAGGGAAGATGGCAGCCAAGCTAGGATGGTGGTAGTGGAGAGGAGATGGATTTGAGAGGGACACAAAGAACAGACCTGA